TAAGGACATGGTAGTGAAAACTATTTGGAATAATGCAGCTAAATTACTCCAAGAAAAATACTATCATGAATACAATCGAAAATTTGATCCATTCAAAGATATAACATTTGAAGTTGCTAGAAATGCCAAGAATACTAAAAGAAAACAACTACAAAATATTCCGGAAAAACGAAAAAAGTCATGTGTTTCATTTACATCAGAAGAATTGACACAAATTATCCAAAGTTGGGATGAAAATACTCCAAATGGATTACAAAGGAAACTGTATCATATTATAGCAGTGGAATTAGCTTGGCGGGGCGGTGAAGCATGCCGATGTTTGATTCATTATTTCAAGGAAGAAATAAATAACAAGTGAACACCAACTGGAAGACTGGAATATAACCCTATATTCGCGAAAACCGCACAAGGTGGATCAAAAAATATTGCAGAAAGTAAATGGCTTGTGTCAAATGAAGAAAATCAAGAAAATTGTCCAGTTCGTTTATTCAAGAAATTTATGTCAAAAAGGGGAGAGAACATTAAAACTGATCGACTATTTTTGACAGTTAATGGTAATTGGAATAAAGATCATAAAAGTCCTTGGTTTAAAAATATGCCAATGGGTATAAATGAAATAAGTGAATGGACCAAATTGTCAGCTGAAAAGATCGGTTTAGATACAAAAAACGTGAAAATATCAAACCATTCAAACAGATCTACAGCTGTGAGTCAATTGGCAAGTTCTGGAATTGGGGAACAACAGATAATGAAAGTTACTGGGTACAGTAGTTCAATGTCATTGAAACCATATTTACAACTGAGCAAAGAACATCATGCTGATATAATATCAAACCTCAGAAAAGAAGATAATATGGATATATCCACGACGGTTGCATCTAGTAGCAGTAATGATGAATGTCACTATGTCAAAATAAATAATTGCAATAACTGTACATTCAATATAAATATTAACAATAAATAGGTAGTGAAAATGGTTTATTACACTTGTTGTATTACAAGCGAAAACATTTACGCTCTGCCACTAACTTAGATCAGTTTGATTCGCGGCACGTTTGGATATTGGCAAAGGGGATTTTATTCCCTTTTATTCGCTATCTGCTTCAACTCGTTATCACATGACGGAAGTATGTCCGGAATAATAGCTGCAAATCAATCGCTGTGCCGTGGAATTGGCTCATACTGAGGGGTAGCACAGGTAGGTTTTGAAATCTACCATTCAATTGGTATCGTTGGGCATAATTCTTATCTCGTTATCAAATCGCGAAATCGAGTGCAAATTTCCGCACAGGAAAGTACAATTTTTCAATCATTTTGCTCAGGATAGTGATTGGTACATGTGCTGTTCGATAATCTACTCATTTCGTTAGCAGATGACGGTCGAAATTCGCAGCTGGCTCTTGGACTATAATAACACTGAAAAATCAACATATTTATCAATTCAGATTTTAATTTCCATTGAAGGAGTAATGCCATTCACTGTGTATATTCAGCATTGTTCAGCATATTACTAAAGTTTTTATATTTATCAAGTATTGCCTAGGAGTTCAGTTATCAAACAAAGAAAAACGAAATTCGACTTGGTTGTCAGAAAATGAACGCTGTATTAAAATTCCAGGCGAAATTGTGGATGACTACCTAAACCAAGTGAGAATTCAAGTGGCATTCATTTTTATAGGAAGCTTGTACCCCACCTCCCTAACAAGACCAGTACATCCTAGGGACTTCCGATGGACGTCCCTGATTTTATACTAGGACATCCCAGGGATGTCCTTTGTCGGGACAACGTACATACTAGGGATGTCCCAGGGACATCCGCTGGCCGCTAAAAAAAGGCTGCCAAGGGATGTTCTTCCGGTACGTCCCTGGGATGTACCAAGTACGATGAAAGGATATCCCTAGGGCGTCCCAAGGATATCCCAGGGACATCCTTTCGACAAAAGAAAAAAGTTGCAGGTCGAGTAGGGATTGAACCCGGGACCTTTGGCTTATCATGCACGCACCTTGCTCCATTGGCTATCATGTCTCCTGAAGATTTATGTACTAAACAGATTTTTAAACAGGACTTAACTACAGAAACCTGAATAAATACAACTTTATTAGGAATTGGGTATAATTATTATCATTCTTGGGTTTTTAAAAATGAGGGGCATAATGCATGTACGATTTCTGTCTGCCAAAAATGGTAATTTCTTAAGAAGTTCTGAGACTTTATTCTTTATTTTCATTACAATCATTTTCCGGAAGAGAAACAAACATTATCGAAAAAATTCAACTCAATAGTTTGATGAAATTCAATGACTCTGATGTGAATGGATATCAGATACTCCAGGGACACGAATAGGATAACCTAGGGATGTACCGGGCGGGATGTCCACTGCGGGACAAAAAAGGGACGTACCTAGGACATCCCTGTGTTGTTAGGGCTGTATAAAGTTAGGAAACATACTGATAACTATTGCTAGTAGATAAGTATTAAAAATACAGTATTCATTAATATGTTTTGAAATATTTAAACCATATGAATATTGCACATGATACCATTGAACAATCATTGAAGTGCCTGTAATCTTAATCATATCCTATCAACCGCCATAGCTTGAAATCATCTGATTTCATAGCAAAAACACAATATCCATAATTTTTTGACACAATATCCTCAACTTTTTTATCAGTTTATGTTGCACTAACGTCTTTAGAAGTGGAAGAAGTTGAAATTTCAACATATTGGTAGTGTAAATAATCAATCGTTTCAATTAAAATATTTACCTACTACCAATAGGTAATGTGAAACACTAGGACACTTATTTCCGTTTCGTAATGAGATACTTCACCGGTAAAGTGTTACTTTACAGCACTATTGCTGTAAAGTAAAAAAATATGTATAATTCCAGTTTACTCAAAAAACAGAAATAAGAACTAATTGATCATAAATATAACGAGAACTAAATTTTAAATTGATTCATTTGCCGCAATTTCTATATCAGAATCTATACTTTCGTGATAGGAATTCATGTTAATGAATTATCTGAAATTGGAATGAATTCGTCAAAGTTGAGAGTTCCCAGAATGAGTGAAACGAGAAAACAATAGATTCACAAGTAGGTCCAACCCTCGCAACGCCAGCTTGTTACATTCCTAATGAATCGTTAATTCAAGGAATATTTACTATTTTCGATTCAATAATTATTGTGTGATATTCGTATCATGAATTCATAATGAAATATTCCACAAATTTCCCATCTCATATCATGATATGAATCTTAATCTTTACGATACTTGTATCATTTCTATAATATATTTTTTCAGTTCAATATTCATCAAGACACTATTATTATTTTATTTCGAGTTTTATTTTCGACTTCTTTTCAGTTTCGCTATCTTTAAAATCGTGTTTCTTTAGTTTTTCAAACTACCATTTATTTCAACTTCTTTTTAGTTTACTTGAATTTCCCAATTTTGACGAAAGAATCATAATATCCGACTCCTAAAACCCCAGATGAAAATTTTGAATAGAATCGGAACATAATTACAAAACTCGTCCACAATATTGGATCTACCATCTTGAATTCCCTAATTTTGACGAAGGAATCATGATTTTTAACTCGAAAACGCCCACTTACAAATTTTGAATAGAATCGGTATATACGGTATATACGAACTCGTCCGGTATATTGGTTCCACCGTCTTTGATTTCCATATCCCGCCCTTCCCAAATTTTGACAAAAGAATTATAATCTCCGACCCTGAAAACACCCAGATAACAATTTTGAAGAGAGTCGAATCATAATAACAATACTCGTCCGCCATATTGGGTCCGTCATCTTGAATTTCCTAATTTTGACAAAAGAAGTATAATCTCCGACCCCTAGAACCACCAGATACCAAATTTGAATAAAATCGGATCTTAATTACAAAATCCGCCATTTTGGATCCGCCATCTTGAATTTCTTGATTTTGACGAAGGAATCATAATCTCCGACCCCGAAAACCCTCAGATACCAATTTTGAATAGAATCGGACCATAATTACAAAACTCGTCCAATACATTAGATCCGCCATCTTGAATTTCCTAATGGTACCGGGATAAAAAGTATCCTATAACCTTCTTCTGGTTCTAAGCTACCTACCTCCCCACCAATTTTCAGCCACTCCGTCCAGTAGTTTTGGAGCCTATTCAATACATACAAACAAACAATCAAATCTTTCTTCTTTATAATATTAGTACCTATACAGGGTGTTTCATAATTGAATGTCAATATTTGGGGACGCAATTCTTGGGCCCATTCTAAGAAGAAAGTTTCATATGAACGTATGACCTAAACATCCTAACTTTTGAGATACAGGGTGGTAAAGTTCTCAAAAATTAATAGTTTTTTATTAATATCTGTAATACCACTTCAGATATTCTGATGAAATTTGGCATACATGTACTATGTATCAAGAGGCATCAGTTAGCGTACCACATTTTTTGTTGTTGCCACCAGTGGCGTTCGTATGGAATTTCACATACCTATTTTGGCAGACATTGATGGTACGCCACTGATTAATCTCCAAATTGAAATCATTCCTGAAATTCCCGATCATTTCTAAGCAAATTTGATCACTACAATTTTTTCAATCTGATGCACGGTTTTCGCTTAAAAATAAAAAGCTTTTCACTACATGATTATAGTAATATTGTTAATATGATAATATCACAATGCAGAGAAATAGTTTTTATTTTTAAGATCAAATTTCAGAAATACAATTCATAGTTCATGAACTTTGTATTCGTATTTGGTATTTTCGAATTATAACTCCTCATTGTAGTAGGCTATATTAATTTTCGAGAATTTTACCACCCTGTATCTCCAAAGTTGGGACGTTTAGGTCATACGTTCATATGAAACTTTCTTCTTAGAATGAGCCCAAGAATCGCCTCCTCGAATATTGACATTCAATTATGAAACACCCTGTATATAGATAATTATAAATTGACTGAAACATCCTTTTTTCAGGAGGAGGAATCGCGCAAGAAACGCAGGGACTGAGAGAAGCTGAATGCTACTGGTGAAAAAGAAAGTACGATGGAATAAGTTGTGGTGAATAAGATATATAGAAGCACCTATACCCATATTAAAATAGCCCATTAATTTTTGAATTACTTACCTATTAATAAAGTGTGGATTTTTTTGGTTGCAATGATTTCTTTTTCTTGTGGAGTTATGTATTTATAGGTTATTATTTGAATAAAAATGTATTTTGTATAAATATCTTGAATGTTTTGGGTGACTATAGTACCAGTCTTTGTTTTACCTCCTATACAGAGTGATTAGGACAGACACTCGATGAAAGACTGTCGGTTGGAGTGCCAAAAAAGCAGAGGGGACCATATAAATTCTGGTCGATTTCCTTAAAACTGAATTCAGGTTATTTCGTGTTTCATATCTAATTGGAAATATTCCATTGGGTCCTGTGCACAAAATATGAAGGTTATTCAAATATTTAAACACTATGTTAGCATGTTTTATTGTTAATGTGGATTGAAGTTTCATTTGCGTAATACTTCAATGATCCAAAACACCGACATAATAATTAATGCACATTGAAATCGAAATAATTATGCAATATCATGTCTAACTTGAAATATTTCTAAAAATAATGACTTTATCGCTATGAAGAAATTCACTAGTATGGAGAATCTAAAATGATAAAATTGCAATTCCACCAGTGGCGTCGAATTTGGAAATAAGGATCAGCCACTGGCACATGCCCCTGTCGTACACGGCTCTACTGGTATTAGTCAGGATAAATGTTGTAGGAGTGTATAGTATTTACTCTTCCCGTCACCAATACCTGCATGCCTACCGAGTTGAAATTTTTTTCTACGGTTCCGAAGAAATTAATATAAATCTTGATGTTTATCTTACTTTGGACACCCTGTATTTCAGAGCTATACAGGGTAATGCAAATTTCATGGTACACTATTGATATATCAGAAACGGAGAGAAATGCAAACTAGAGTCCCTCTGTATATACCTTAGACAAGAGTCCGGACACAGCTATACTTCTGTCCTTTTCTGTTTTCAAAAAATGCATTGATGATTGAATAAAGGAATAATAACACATATACAGTCTGTCCAAGATAAGGTTGAACAGCATGGGGATCTCGAAAACGGTAAGAGCTACGAAGTCGGTTAAATGGGGAAAAAGTTGCGCATTCGGAGGCTCATATCAAGAGCCTTCGAAAATTTTGAAAATTATTTTTAGTTTTTGAGTTATATCGAAAAAAGTGAATTTTTGGAATTTCTATTTAATTTTTTTTCTCCGTTATTATTAGAGATACAGCAAAACTGAGAATACTTTTTCATAGCAACTTTTGATGACGGTCAACGTGGTGATACCGATTTTTTCATGCGACGTTTCGTATTCGTGGAACCATCATCAACTTTTGTTTTTTAAATACGGTCCTGATAATTTTTTCACAGATTCTAAAAGGTTTCTTTATTCTAAATTCAACCATGTATTATACAAGGTGGTTCATTTGTGTTTCGACCTATTTCCATCCATGTTTTTTCGAAACTCCAAAGGAAAAATGCCATCAGTTCCACTTATTTTGAAGGAAAATTAGTCAACACACTAATACCTCATCAACTGGTTTCAATCAACAACCCATTTCATTTTGCGGAAACAAAAATTCCATCCATACAAATTCAGAATATGTCAAGCGCTAAAACCAGGAGATGACGAAAGGCGCAAGACATCCTCTGTGAGTGGTATACCAGGAAATGTTAAAATTTTGCAGATTTCTTTCGAACAATCATCTGGACTGATGAAAGCATGGTCACTAATCATGGTAGCTTCGATAGAAAAAATACACATTATTGTTCACGAGAAAATGAACATTTATACATTACAGCGAGACACCAACACCGTTTCGGCTTTAATATGTGGGTTGCAATATTTGGTACACGAATTATTGTTCCTTCTATTTACCATGAAACACAGACTTCCGAACGTTATAGAAATTCGCTTGAGAATCATCTTGAGGAAGCTCTGGATGATTTACCGATTGCGGGAAGTTCAGAACTCTATCTGTTGGTTTCAACAAGATGGCGCTCCGGTACATAATTCCAGAGAAGTCCGTGCGTTTTTATCCCTTGGCCGGCGCGGTCGCCTGATTTAACACAGCTGGATTTTTTCTTAGGGGATATATCGAACTTTGTACACGCAAATAACTTTGAGGATGAACTAATAAGGGACAGTGTCTTCGAAGCATTCAATAGAATAACCCCAGAAATGCTCAGCAATGTCTTAGAAACAACTGTGAGAAGAGGATATCTTTGTTCAGAAAATAATGGTTATCATTTTGAACATTTGTTATGAATGTCTCTGTAGGTATTGTCAAAGTTAAGTTGTTAAAGTAATTCGTGTAAGAATTCATCAACAATTTTAAACGCTGCATTGATCGAATGATGTAGTGAAATATTTTTTATTCACTTTTCAGTATTGAATAACTAATCCATCAAGTTTGACACTAAATGATAAGAAATAAGTGGAACTGATGGCTTTTTTTCTTTTGGAAGTTCGAAAAAACATTGATGATGGATAGAAATAGGTCGAAACACATTCGAATCACCTTGTATAGTACATTGTTGAATTCAGAATAAAAAAACCTTTCAGAATCTGTGAAAAAATTATCAGGACCGTATTTAAAAAACAAAAGTTGATGATGGTTCCACGAATACGAAACGTCGCATAAAAAAATCGGTATCACCACGTTAAACCTCATCAAAAGTTGCAATGAAAAAGTATTTTCAGTTTTTCTGTATCTCTGATAATAACGGAGAAAAAAAAATAAAATAGAAATTCCAAAAATTCACTTTTTTCGATATAACTCAAAAACTAAAAATAATTTTCAAAATTTTCGAAGGCTCTTGATATGAGCCTCCGAATGCGCAACTTTTTCCCCATTTAAGCGACTTCGTATCTCCTACCGTTTCCGAGATCCCCATGCTGTTCAACCTTATCTTGGACAGACTGTATATCGAGCTCTGTCTTTTCAATTCCCCTAGTATCAATGTTTGTCAGAAACAATTTTGAGGGTTAGATTATTCGTCAAACCGTTCACAGCCGTAGGTAGGAGTGAGAAATAGGGCTATTTTAACTAGAATAACTATTAGATTTTCAAATAATGAACAACAGGGTGTTCAAATTTCGAATCGATAATTTTCATAATCAATTCCTGAGATATACCGGGTGGCTACGGAAGTATATTGCCTACGGAATATCTCAGTTATTGCATAAAGTAGGTTTGTGAAATTTGAAGCGTCGATATAATGACATTAGACCTAGAATTTGAGCATATTGACATGTCGAAGTTAACTTCCGGTCTGACCGGAAGTAACATCAACTTTCTTATTTTAAATGGAAACCCTATTTTTTTTTTCGCTTTATTCAGCATTCAATTCCCTTTCTAATGACATATCACAAGTTGGCATCTAACCAGAAACTTTTTGCAAGAACATGTTTCAATCGTGTTTTCTCACGCACATTCTTGAGTACTGAGAGCGAGGAAAATATGGACGCATCCAGAATGAATTTATTTTCCGAGAACAATGTTGATTTTCATTCGATTCTCCTCCCAACCAAGATTCGAAGGGCGTTCCAGATTTGGGTCACTTTCAAGAAAACTCTAGATCCTTGATAGACATCTTGAGTCAATTCTGATATTCAAATCTCTTCATCTGAAGTTTTATCTTCAAAATGAGCCTAAGATTTCCAAAATCGGTTGACGTGGAAAAAAGTTATGGCTGCAAAACCAAAAAGTTGATTTTTTGGGATCACTCTGTAAATAAGAGAGATAGGAAGTTGATTCGCGAAATATCTCGAGGTAATCAGATCATCTTCATGCCTCTGTTGTCGAAATTGAGAAAAAAATTGTTTCACCATTTGAGAGCCTTTTGAATATTCCGAAATTTTGCACAGTGTCGGAAAACACCATGTAGAGATTTTATGTGAATACCCTCATGTTTCAATGAAGTACCAGATTATAGCTGAAGGACTGGGCTATCGAACAGTGTGAACCAAATTCAAATTGTTCTAAACTGAAAAAAGATATTCACATTATAACAGGGGCGACATTTTGGTGTGCGACGAAATTAGTGTTGAGTAGTTTATCTACTGATATTTAATTGGGACATATACCGGGTGATCAAGAATCTGAATTCTGCACCACCCTGTATTTGTTTCAATTAAATGTCAGTAGATAGTTGATCAAAAGTTGGGATAGGGACATGTGAGCCGTTTTGACCAATAATGAATAGTTTCGACAAAAAAAATTCCTAAAGTTGAAAAATGTCGATTTTTCACACCCTATATCTCTGTAATCATTTCCGCTAGACCCCAAGTGTGATACATCGATGAAATCAGCTCTTCAGAGAGAATCTGAAAATGCGATAAAATACAGGGTGTTCAATTCAAAATAACAAAGTTGTTGTTACTTTTCGATAGAAGCGGCAACGCTGCAGAGCTGAAAATATTTTAGATCGATAGATCAAGAGCAATTACTTGAGTAACCAAATTTTCAGAATGATCTTATGTCCCGTTCTCCGTAAACGTCTAAGGTGCCATCGACCGTGACCCATCCTGTATACAGGGTGTAAATTTGAAAACTTCCAATGCGAATATCTCGTGAAAGAAAAAAGTTAGAAAAACGCCGTTTGGCAAAAATGCTAAAGAGTTAAGGGGAACTAGAACCACTATATTTCGGTCAAGGGATGAGTCACCCCGTCGACGCGACACACCCCAACTTTGAAATGTCAAATGGCACTACCTTTTCTGTGATGCCTCAAATGAACAGTCTCAGTCAGTAGTATTCACCTGTACAAGACTTTTTTTCCACCCACTACAGGGTGTACGAAAAATATGAAGTCGAATAAAATAAAATGAATTGTGTTAAAAGGATATTTTATTTGATCAGATGTTCAAAATGCATTCCATTCTGTTGTAAACAATAGTATAATCGATGTTCAAATGCCATTCTGACATT